CTGCTGACTGTACCATTCTAATATATCTATGCAATTATTTTGTGCTGCTACATGTAATGCTGTGAAACCATAATTATCAGCATCAATAGGATTAAGCTTGTATTTTTGTATAAGTAGCTGGACTAGATTGAGATTTTTTGAGCAACAGGCAAAAGAGATACAACTCATACCACGTTTATTGGTAGCTGTGACATTACACTTCATATCATCTATTAAAAATGTGGCTAATTGGGCATTACCACTCTGGCAAGCAACATGTAATGGTATGATACCTGTTGCTTCAGCAGCATGTAGCAACTTATTGAATTCAGGATACTGGCTGATGATATGCTTTATAAAATGCAACTTCCCGTTTATGGATGAATAATGAAAGATATTGGAACCTTTTTTATCTTTTTGATTAAGGTTACACTTACAAGACTTGACAAAATAATCCAGTATAAAAACAGCACCGGATTGAGCAGCATCATGAATTGGAAGTTTACCATTTTTGGCTGCTTGATGTGGATCTAACTGATGGGTAACTACTAATTCTTGAACAAGGTGCAAATTGAGAGTACGGGAAGCATAATGTAAAGCAGTGAGGCCATTCTTATCAACTGCAGTAGGAGACAAACCTTGTTCATTGATAAGATACTGAACTAAATTGAAGTTACCACTACTTGCAGCATGATGTACTAATGTGCATCCTTTATCATCTATTTTATTGACATCACAATTTTGCACCTCAATGAGATATTGAGTGACATCAATATGACCATTACGACAAGAATGGTGAAGAGATGTCATACCATTGAAATCAGTGATATTAGGATCACTGTTATGACAATTAATAAGATATTCAACAGCATTAATGCTACCTGATGAGCAGGAGTACATCAATGGTGTTTGACCAGTACAATCAGGCAAGTTAGCATCAAGATTATACTGAGATATGATGTAGTTTAACATTGTGGTAGAACCTGATAAAGCAGCTTTGTGTACTGGGGATTGATTATTGCGATCTAATGAAGAAGTGATATTATATTCTTGCAATGCTTTAACAAGCAATGTATTACCACTCTGAGATGCTGAATGAAGTAATGACTCATCATATTTTGTAGTAGCATTGATGTCGAAGTTATGGTAGGTGCTAGCTTTGTTGAGAAGTAAAGAGAGCAAATCCAACCTTTGTGTGCTTTTAAAAAAATCAATGTTTTGCCTTACATTAGCAGAATTAATAACATTAACAATTGGCATATCATGTGGTATAATAAGCTTACAATACACATTTCCAGCTTCAACATGAGTAGATGTAGTGGATACAAAATTTAGCAGTGACTGCAATAAATCAGTATCTTGAATATTCATAATAAACTTGGCAATATCTGCTGAAGCAAACATCAAAGCAGTATGAAGTGGAGTTCCATCATATCGATCTTTTGAATCAATGACTAGTTCATATCGAGATAAAAGATATTGAAAAAGTTCCAAATTATCCTCAGCCCCAGCAGATTGGCAGGTGTAGTGCAATACATTGGTGTCCATACTGCTTTTACAGTTTGGTGAAAAAAGGCCCAGCTTTTCGAGCTTGTGGACTAATGCTATCTGTCCACTCATACAGGCTAAAAGTGATAAGGATGCATCTGCAAAATTAACCTGTGATGTGTTACAATTACGATTAACAAAAAATTCCACCAGTTCAGAATGACCACCAATTGCTGCGTACAGTAATGCTGTGATATTGCTTTCATCTGGTTGATCAGGAGGAACGTGACATGTGTCTATCAAATATTGAACTATTGATATGTGACCTTTATAAGACGCCATGTGCAGTATGGATACGCTATTATGATCAGACACATTAGGAT